ATTATATAATCTAGGAAAGTCTGCTTAGTTTATATGAATAATATTTGACGCTTTTGCATCTATAATCCCTTCTGCTGCATTCCTTCTATGCATCTCTAAGTGCAGAAGAGATGACTTTGTAATTAGTTGGCCATTACATGACAGGGCTTAAATGTGATTGTTTTTTTCCCCCGTTCCTTGCAACTGTTTCAATACTGTATCTTGTATGTGTCCAAGTAATTTTTTTCCCCCGCCTCTCTTCTGTGTAGTCACAATATGTGCTCCTTCCTGAAGTTTGGATTTTTTTCCCCCCTCATTCCTTGTTGAGTCTCCCCAGAGCTGTTAGGTAGTGTCTGGTTACTCAGCCTTGAGGCTCTTTGTGCTCTTTTAACCTCTAAATCAACTAAAAATAGCCAAACTTCTTGGGTTGAAATTTTCCAAAATGAAAATTCAGCCCGACACATGGACCTCGTACAAATTTTCAGTGGGAATGATTTAAGATCTCCAGTCTCTAGCAGAATAGATGCAAATATTGGGCAGCCTCTGCCTTTTGGGAGTTTTAGGAGGGTCCTCTTTGTGTATTGTAAACTGCACTTCAGGGTGCTCTAATTTGCTGTGTTAGCAGATTAGCAAAACTTGACTCATATCCAATTTTTTTAAATGGCTGCCTCGGTGGAAAACCTTACAGATGGAGGGATTATCCGTCTGGGGTTGTGTTTTCAGTATTTTGTGAAGGTGAATGGAGGAGATGTACGTTGCATCTATATTTGAGTGTGGATTTACAGTGGTGGCCTTTGCTTTCCCTCTTCCCCTTTCCCGTGTTCAGCCTAAAACCTCATGGATTTTTGCGGGGGCTTTGCCATTGCCTTCCCTGGTGTCCGATGGAGTTCCTAAAAGCCCCGTGTCAAACCCGGTTTGCAAGGCCAGGAATGAGCTGGGGTGTCCCGAAGTGTCGCGCTCAGTAGCTGTCAGTGAAGTCGGGCTGTACCGTTTTGGGAGGAGTTCCTGCTGAGCGCTGCCCTCCCGTTTTGTTCCCGACCAACCGGGACTGACAGGCGGCCGTCGGTGCCCGAGGAGTCCAGCTGCCACAAGTGGAGCTCTTCCCTGAGCCGTTTCCTTTCTCCTTGGAGTCTTCATTCAAAAGGTAAGATTGAAGGAGGATGTAGGAAGGATGTAAGAAGTTTTCCTCTTGGTTGGAAGTACATGAAGCTGTAAGTGGAACTACAGCGGCTTAATAAAAGAATCACTTCAAAAGTTTAGAAAGTTAAAAGGCTGGTTTTCTCATCCAGCCTTCTGAAAAATTAATTTCTAGACACGATGTAAAAAAACCCCTCTGAATATTCTAAATATTTTAATCTTATCACTTCAAGCCAGTAGCTGAGGTTGTGCAGTGTGTTTGCATATTTTCCAAATAAGAGAAGCCATTTTGGAATATTGGGAAAGGAAGAATAAAATGTTGTACGGATGCTATTATTTAAAAAAATTAAGCTTACCTTTTGGTAATCTGCTGGAAGTTGCACCTAATTGAAGGAAGGTTTGTGTAAAAGTGTGTTTATCACACCTCAGTGTGAAAATAATGAGTTACTGCACTGTTTTATACCATTTAAAAAAAAATTCAAGATATAAAAAAATATTTATTGTAATAGAGGGGTGAAGGAAAGCTTTTGTATTCAGTGTAACATCGTGCATATTTCAAAACCCTTATGAGCACACTTCTCTGTTAGGTAAAATTGAAGACAAGAGCTGTGTTCAGACCTAGTGAAGCCCCAGACACATCCAACAGCAAAGAATTAGGCATTTAGGAAGAAACCCTTATGAATTCGTTCTGTTTTTCTCCTAGATCAAATCCATTGATCGATGTTGGGAAATTAATTCACCTTGGAACAGAGCCAGGTTGTTTTTTGGTTGTTTTTTCACGTCTGCTCTTCAGCCAGATGTCTTTGAGTTGCACTGGGAGTTCAGGATGGGCTGGAATGTCCTTGGGCTCTATTCCTGAAGCTGTTCCACCAGGAGAGCTCTGTCAGCTTTGCTGGGGTTTTCTACTGAGCCCTGGTGTGAACTGAAACGGGTTGAGGAGTTGCTGGAGGAAGCAGGGTGCTGTGCAGCAGTGGGAACCCTGCTGGAAGAGTTAAGCTGGGTGTTGAGGGCTGTCCATGTTTGCAGGCACGGCCTGGAGGGGTTGTGGCTCTGCTTAAATGCTGTTTTCTGTCCCTTTTCATGAGATTGTGATTTTGTATCTGCTTGGGAGCTGCTTGCCAGCATCGAAACGGAGGCAGTTTCTAAGAATCATTTCTCTCTTATTTTCAAGCATATCTGAGTCAATATGTTATGTGTATATATATATATATATATATATATATAAAGAATCATTTGCTACCCTTAATTTTGGGGTTGTTTTGGGCGTGTCTGTAAGCAGTGGAAAAGGATACTCTTCTAGAATACTAAACCACTACTTAGGTCACTGGACAAAACAAATAATGCAAACCTTTATATCAGTTAGAGAACAGTTATATAAAACAGTATGTGATGGTGAGGCATCCTGGGGTAGGGAAGGGGTAGGAAGCAACCAAATCTGTTGGCAAAATTTGTAGCAGCTCCACAAAGAGAAGAAACCCAGTTTTTTTTACCTCTTTGCAGCTGAGATACATTTTTGAAGCAAAAAAAGAGAGTGTAATGTTGTAATAGATAACTGTCAGCAAACAGCAATAAGGGGAAACAGGGAATTGTATTTAAAGGAAATAAAATTTGAAACCTTTTAGTAGCAGCTCATGGAATTTGTGTTGTCTAATATTTTAATGAGTGGAACAATATCCTATTTTTAGTGGAAGGTCAACTTGAGCTTTATTTGAACAGGGTCTCTGGTTCTGAACACAGATAGGAACACTTTAGATGTGATAACCAAAGGGAGGGCTTGGAGCCAGACCTCCTTAACCTATCATTAGGAGCTCAGATAGCCATCCATGGCAGAACCATGTGCCACTCAAATGGAGAGGAGTCCTTGTCCTGGGCCCAAGCTGCACGCAGTGAAAATAGCACTGATTCTCATGGGGAAGGATTTTGGGGTTTTATTTCAGAATTTAATGAAAAATATTAATGAGGTTTTTTTTTTTTTTTTAAATGAAATACTGCCATCTGATGTCACACCACCTTCTTTTGTGTATTGGTTTGTTTGTTTTGTTTTTTAAGGTAAATGCTTTTCCTTAAATATTAGAACTCTTAGTTTTCAGACCAAAACCTCCAGTACCTGCAAAAATGTGCATGGAAGAAATGTTACAAACATTAGATTATTAAAGTATTTCTAGCTTAAGCACTATTATTTTAATTCTGCTGTCACCCACAATGGTGCATAGCCAGTGAAACTCCACTGATGAGTGGAATTATTTGGTTTACTGGTAGTGAGATACTGTCAGGATATAAGAAAGTTTGCATGAGACAAGTTCGTTGAGGTGTGACTCTTTATCCCACCTCAAAAGTTTGTTGGTTTTCTTTCATAAACCATAATTAAACCTTTTGATGCCACTAGGTCAATCATGATCCATTGCTTGCCATGGGGATTCTCCAATATCCATACAGAACTAGGCTTAGGCTGTTTTCTTTTCCTTGGTAGAGTGATTGCAGGGTATGATGTATCACATTATTTATGCTGAGAATTATGTTGAAGAACTTGGTGGAAATTTTATGTTCTTGTGAGTTTTACCTGCTCTTCAAATTTGGATTGAAAAAGTGCTCTAGGGAGAAAGTAAACACAGGCAGAATTGAAAGGAAATGCAAAAAGAAGTGCTGTGTTTTTTTGGTTTTAATTTTTGGGGCTAAGATTAAAAAAATCTTCCAGTTACTTCATTGCCAGCCTGCACTGATATGCAAAGCCTGTTTAAATAAAGTAGCTTTCAGTGAATAAATGTTACTAATGGATCTGAATCTCACCACCTTCTCCAGCTCTGTTTTGTGCTGTCTGTGCATTAATAGACATGTTTCTTGTTGCTAGTGGTAAGTAATGATGAAATCTGAGATGATTAGAGAGCTGACAGCTTTGTCTGGAAATTTAAATAATTTTATAGGTGTTTTATAGGTTTTACCTGGTGTTAAACGGGCCAGGTCCTTCCCAGGTGTTGGAGATGCTGCTCCATTCCAGAGCATGGTCTGGCCCACAGAGTACAAGAGGTCTTCTCTTTGCAGTACAGCAGCTTGGACTTGTCTTAGCCTGAACTAGAAGATTTCAGCATCCTGAATATCTTATTTCATGTGTCAGCTAGAGGATTAAAGGAAAATGCAGTAGTTGTTTTTGTGGCTTCTATGAAGTCTGATTTGCACTTGCTTTACTGACTGTAGCAAAAAGGCTAACAAATTTTATTCCCTCAGTGCTTTTGTTGACAATTAATGAAGCTGTATAGGAAATACTGAAATGAAGAACAAATAGTAAAAACATTCTATTACATATTCTCAGCAATGTTTAATATCTTGGAAATCCTCAGGTTCCCTGTCCATATGTATCTTGGTAAGAAATACAAACCCTGAGTACTTTAACTTTTCTTTGTTATTTAGAAGGCAATGGGCTTTTGCATTTTCTGAAATTGCTAGGATAATATATTGTAGAGTGCCATACAATAGGAAAGAAAAACACCAGAGAAAACAAATTCGGTGCCAGGTTCCTGGGTGGGAGCTTTATGAATCCCTTTGCTGTCCAGTTCAGGGGTCTGAGAGTGAGTCATTGCCTCCAGACTGAAGTTGGCACACGGTCAGAACGCGTGCCAGAACAGTTGCTGTGCTGAAAATTCCAGGAATAACCAGTGGAAGTGTAAGTAATTTCATGCTCAGTGTCATCTAATTGTTCAAAACCTTTCCAGCTCTAAACTTTGATGCCACGCTGACTATGCTCTACCATGTAGCTTTAAGGGTGCCCATCCCCCTGCCACCCGTCCAGCAGCCACTGTGTCCCGTCAGTCATCCTGAAATACACTGGGAGCTGGTCGGGCAGTCCCCTGCAGATGCCTCAGGAGCCCAGTAGTGAGCCAAGGCAGTGGCACTGGAGTCCCCCACACCAGGGAATTGCATAGACAGTTGCTTTAGTGCTGAATATGGACCATGTGTTTTCTAGGATAGGTGAGTGATACACTGTTGGCTTTCTAACAATCTAGCAGGAAATGGGTTCTGAAGTAAAGGTTTTCTAATTTATGCAGAATGTCTTTGGCTCTGCTTTCTGACACTTATTAGTTTATGTCTGTATACAGTGTACTTACAGATTCTAAAAAAAAGCTGCAGGTGCTGTGCTCACTTTGCATTGCAAATGGATGTAGACTTCGGCTGTTTTTCCAGTGTCTTTTCCTTCTTACACCGAAAGACTCAGTAGTTTTGACATCTGATGAAAAGACAAAGTTTTCATTATCTCGAGGTTGGTAGGAGTGTGCAGGTGGTTCCTTTTCTGGCTGTTCTGGGACACAGCTGTGTCTTGTAACACATGCTTAACATCCTAAGTGTTGTAAGAGCTGCTGGTGTACAGGGCTGAGATTGCCTCCTGCAAAGGTTAATCTAACGGAGTGGGAGCTCAGACAGCCTTTTACCAAAATATCTCGCGGTGAAGGCCCTGCTGAACTTAGGGGGATGTTATATTGGAGTAGACAAATGCATTAAAAAAAAAAAAAAAAAGGGAAGGTGGAATGTTGATTTTGATTTTCTTTTTCTGAGGCAAACATACATGAGATTTTGTCATCTTAATGAATATAATCTGGAAAGACAGAGGTTCACTTAATAAGCGGAAATGCCAGAGAAAATCCCAGGATGATCTTTGCTGGCTGTGTACTTCTCTTTCTATCACCTCTTATCCTTACCTTAATTAAAAAAAATAAATAAATTAAAGAATCCAATTTAAATATTGATTACCCAATATGGTATATAACAGTAAAGAGAGCCTGGTAAGCTAAAAATATGTAGTCAGATTATCAAAATAGTTTAAGATCTTGTAGTTTTCACTGCATTGCCTTGCAAAGCTGTTTTTATCTTCCTGCTTTAAGGAAGTTTCAGGAAGCATTAGAATTCTACTTAAAAATTATTGCTGGAATCAGCAAGTGAGCCCTTAAGTGAGTTATTTATATCTTAGAATATAACTGAAATTTTCAGAGACAATAGTTTTTGCAATTGACTTTCAGTTGATGATTCATTATGGGCCTGACTCAAGGCTAAAAGCTATTATTGGCTTAACTGGCTTTTGAACTTAGGGCTCAAGCAAAGAATAAAAGTGCTGATGTTAGACAATATGCTGAGGGTAAGAAACAAACAAACAAGCAAAAAACACAGAACGACCCAGAAAAGGGAAGTCATGACACATGGATTCACGTTTTTTCTGACCTGCAAAAACGGGGTTAGATTTCTAATACTTCCCGAGTTTGAGAGTGCTCTGTGGTGGGAATCTGGAGCACAGTGATCCTCTAGTAACAGGAACTGACTTTAATTACAACTACATATTTATCTTCCAAAATTGAGAAAAGACCTGATTATTGCAGATTGTGCTGTGAGGATGGAGAGAAAGCAGCAAAAAGGTTTGACTTCTCTATTTTGAGTAAAGCAGGTGCTGACACCCTTCTGTCAAGGAACTGTGGGGAAGCCACTGCAGGGTTAAAGCATGAGTGTGTCTGCAGAAAAATAACCGAGTCAGCCGGTGGTTTCTTTAGGTCTCAGTAGAAGCACGAAGCGCTGTCTCCTTCCAGCTTACCTGTGCCCTTGTAACTGATGGATGTTTGACCAGAGAAAAATCCACAGCACAGTCGATACCATCTGTTTGCAACTGCTCTGATGGATTTCAAGAAGTGCCCATATTTTGGGAGATTTGTGAAAATATCGAAGATAAGGGTTGGTAACCAGCACTATCATAAAGATTTATTTTTTTTTTTCCTAATGTGAATAGAAAGCGATTTATTAAATATTGGCCAAAGATTTAGAAAACCAGTGAATTGCAGATGGCTAAAAAGGATCTGTCTTTACCAGAGCGCACAATGCTGTGGTTTGATGCAATCCCAGTGAAGCTGGAGGACGGCATCCCGTTGACTTAAAAGGCCTTTTGAATAAGGGGGGTGGACACAACAAAAGCGGCTCGGGAGCTTCTGTGCCGTGTGCTCGGAGACTGCAGCACCAGGCACAGCCGGAGCCGGCGCTGGCAGCGCTGCAGGGCAGCCAGGGGCGCTCCAGCAGCAGCGCACTGCGGGCTGCAGCTCACCCCGGACACCCAGCGTGGCACCGACAGACATCAGTGGCCTCCAGAGCCACTTGTTAGCATTGGGCACAGAGACAACCGCTGGCAGTTCCAGTTTTCACACGCCCGAACTTTACGGTGCTTGTTAAATGTGTGAAATATGGGCAGATAATTTGCTTTGACGTTTCTAGAATTCCCTTTCCATTCATATCTGTGGAAGGAATACTGGGGTTTTGTTTTTGTTTTTGGTTTGTTTTTTTTTTTGCTGGTCAGTCTGATCTCAGGTTTCTTTTTCCTTTGTCTTTTGGTTCAGAACTAAAACTGAAAAATCAGTTCATTCCACATGCTATCACCTGGCTGGATGCAGCTGAATTTGTGGGAACTTGGGTCTGCTGCTAGTATAGTTTGTAATAAAAGAAAAGCTTGGCACTTGTTTAACCTTTAGTAAGAATGGCAAAACTCTAAATTGCTTTATACCTTAATTCTTTAATTATTGCTCATATTCTCTTTGCTTGTAAGTGAAATGTGGATAACTGTCCAGATCCATTCCTACACCACTCGCTACAGAAACCCTAAACTGCAGCACTGTATTAAATCAGTGCTAGGTTCACTGGAAGGTGACAATCCATCTCTTCAGCCTGCAACAATTGCAGTACCTTATTACTGTCTTATACAGCAACAATGGTTGTAATAAGTCTTGCTTAAAAAGGACAGATATCCACTATTTGTGTGTTTGAAGTCTTTATTGGTTAAAAAGGCTTTGCCATGCTGTGTTTTATGGGAAGTTAAGTTGCTGCAAAATTTAAAATGTCTTTTATTTTGGGACTATAATCGGTTGCAATCCAACTAAAGCAGTTGTAATTCTTTGTTCACACACACACACATTTCAGGCTAATGGCCTGAGCCATGGCCCAGTGAACTTGGTGAAAACTATTAATTCACATCAGTAGATTCTGCATCAAGTTCCTAATGAGTGACTTATTCACCTTAAAGACCTTACTTAGCTTTACTTCCATCTTATTGACTTCAGTAATAGGCTTTCTCACCTTAATCTGTCTTGACACTTAAAAAATATTTGTTATTGCAGGGTATAAAATAACAAAATGTTTCACTTTTTTCCTGCTGTTAATTTCCAGAAATTTAAAGGGCTGTTGTATATGCTGCTTGTTCTTAAGGTGCTTATTATTACCCCTGTAATTTGGCACATGGAATAAGATTATTGTTATGGGAGAAGTTATTGTGGACATGCATTAATGTTTTTGTTTTGTGATAAATTCAGTAATGGAATTTAATATTTTTGCTTTAAAGCTGCTTCTCAGACTAGTAGAGGACTTTTACTCAATGGTATTCTAATTCAGTTATCCTTGCATGTTTTTTTAACATGTCGTCAATGTAGAAATCTGTGAGTGAATATAAGGAGTTATATGTACTTTATGATTCTACAGTTTATGTAAGTATCAGCATATTTTTTTTCACAATTTAGAAATGGGGAGTGGGAAAAGTTGAAATGTATTTCTTGAAATCCTAAGCCTGTTATGGAACAAGTTCATACTCACACGGGCAGTCTCTGGGCTCTGTCAGAAGGCAGTGAGGCTTGTAGTCATGGTTAATATTGGCTTATTGCCTTTCTCTTGTTTTGTACCCAGGTGAAATGTCGACAAAAGTGCCAAACATTAAACTGAAAACTGATCCTCGGGATCTGCAGATCCAGACATTTACGGTGGAGAAATTACTGGAGCCGCTGATAATTCAGGTATTTTAGAGCTGCAGAAAGTAAGCTGGGTAACCATGGAGGGAAGGGATTAAGGCTGGAGAACTCTGACTAAGGGCACTATTCTGAAAGCCACACTCACAGCTCACTTGCACTTTTCTCAGGCTCAGGAGATCTCCAGGGCTCTGCCTTCCAGATCTGGTCGTTCATTTGTCACTTCCAACTTTGCCACCCAGTCTGCCACAGTAAATGCTGTGTGTTCCAGCTGGTCTCTTGCACAGTGTTCTCTAGGAGAGGCTTAAATGTAGAATACACTGAAAATGGATTTCCAATGCATGAAATAAGTAATTCTTTAAAAATAAACTTGTATTTTCCCCATTTGATGCTTTCCCTCTCCCTAGCTTATCCAATTTATTTTCTTTTATTAATTATTCATTGTCACATTTGAATTTTTTTTTTTTTGTCTTTTCCTCCCTTACTCACTTTTCCCTTCTGGAAGGTTACTTTCCTCAGAAAGTAACCTTTCCCATCATGACTTCATTTCCAGCTACTATTAACTGAACTGCCTCTCTCTGATTTTGTCTGCCTTTGTTTATTTGTTTTTGCCTGGCTGTGATTGATGGTGTAAAAACCCTCAGTTAACAGGTCAGTGGTTTGTGGAAGTCGTCAAGGATATGTGGATGGGTTATAAAATTAGTTTCAGAGTAGTAAGAATAGATGTCTTGATAGACTGAACTTAAAAACCTCCTGTAGACCAGTAGGTCAGACTGTGCTCAGGCATCTGCAACACTCTGGGTGTTTTTAGAGGAGGTAAAGAAAAGAAAATTTTGATTTGAGTTTTTCAGGATCAAAGAAACCTGACAAAACAAAGGAATTGCAGTTCCAGAACAAAACAAAGAAACCATCTAAGTTTTGGGGTTTTTTTTCCTCCCAGCTCTTCTCAACCATTGAAAAGTTTGAGGCTGTTCTAATTGGAAATGCTTTGGTTCTAGGAGAATAGTTTGACTGTTTCTTCCCTCTCTCAATTTTAATGCTTTGCTTGTTTCAGACCTGTGGAAGGAAAACTTAAGTTTTGAGTGGATCCTTCGAAAGAAAATGTTAAAAATATAAAAATAGGGATTAAAGGGTGATTGAGAGGCTGGAAGGGTAATAAGTGAAAATTAATCTGTGATTAGAAAGAGAATCGGACCAGTCACAGATAAAAATTATCTTCTTGCCAGATTCACTTTAGCAACTGCTGCTTGGAACACAGTTTAACTTTATTTTGAGATTTCTCTTGTAATTTATTTTTTTAATAGTCTTGTAATGCTGTGGCAGGAAAGAAACAATGGAAGTCTTTGAGGTTCTCTGAAGTCTGTTCTAGCCAGTTATGCTAAGTGTTAGGGCACCAATGCAGGAAAAAATGGAGGCAAAACCAGCCTGGGAAGTGACGAGGAAGCAGTTGTGGAAATAGCTGCAGATCACTTGCTGAATTGACTCCCTTCCCTGCAACGTGCACTTGGCAGTGGTGATCACTATGAAACTCTGAAAATAACATAGCAACTGTTTTGTGTAAAACCCTCTGTGAGTTGGCAACTTCTCTATCCTTGGAATAAAGCAATTTCCCTGAATTGCTCTGGGGGTTTCCCTCTGTCTGTGGCCTTTTATTCCAGGTGTTTTGAGGATGTTAGTTTTGAAAGGAAGGCTTCTCAGTCTAGTTCTCAGTCAATGCATCTGGCATGTTAGAAAAGGTAGTTGGCAGAGTTAGCATGGTTCAGCTGACACGACGTGTAGACAAATCCCTGGATTTGGATTTGGAGTCCCTTGGATCACTGATGAAGAACAGGCAAGTTGAAAGGCTTGTGTTCCCACCTGTTATCCACAGCACAGAGGTTTGCTCACAGGGAAAACACACACTGTTGGTTGGAGTTCTACAGATGGTGAGTTCACCTTCTCCTCACTGGGTGGGATTAGCCAGTGTTTGTATGGGAAATACTTTGGATTTGAAACAGTGGGCAGGGTTTTTGCCGTTGTCATTAGGCCACTGAATTAATGTCTTGTTTTTCCTAAATGTCTAGGGATTGACATCTAGCTACCCTGAACTACCTTGTTAACAAAAAAAGAATGTTTTGATGCTTAAAAATACTTTTTATAGTAAGATAAGGGTGAAGTATTAGGATACTCAAGGTATCAAGACGTTGCTTCCTGAGCTACTGCAGTATTAAGAGATTGTCTCTAAGTGCTGCCAGTAACTGAATGTAGCATTGGAAGACCTCCTGCAGAGTTTCCTAGAAACTTGGTATATGGCATAACCATGACCCCACAAGAAACCCCACCCCTTCAGCCTAATAAGTAATGGCAATAACAGGTCCCAGAGGCACGATTCAGCTCTGTGGATGTGGTGGCACGTGCCTAGAAAATGGCTTGGAAACCCTTTGTGCCCTTAGCACAAGTGTGTTCCTCCTCCCAGAGCTAGGCTGAGGGACCTGCTGTGCATGGCAACAAGAAGGTGTTGATAGCTGGGAAATCCTGAGCAGGATTAATGGGGATGTGTTTTTCTTTTCTCTTATAACCATGTCAGTGACTGTGTATTCTGCCACTGCAGTACAAGCAAGCTCTGTTGACAATGGCACACTGTATTAGTCTGTGGTTCAGTCCTTTCTGGGTAGGATTGTAAAAGGTTGTTACATTCCTCACTGGGGTTCTGTGTTGGAGAATTCAGAGCAGTTTTTCTGTTTTCCATAATCTCCATGAGCAAAGAGCTATCTAACAAATTTTGACTTGTATTTGAGATCAGCTGCTGCCTCCAGTATTTCCTGACAGTGATGCAGAAGATGCAGTCTTACAGTCAAGAGTTTTCACCTGCAGGAATGGTTATTTTTTTATACTTTTTAATTTGTTTTATTTCCTTTCCTCCTCAACATATCAATGAACAGGGTATAGAATGATATTTTGCACTTAAAAAAACTACAGTAAAAACCTGCAAAGTAGAATACAATATCTTCTAGTGAAATAGTGATTAAATGCGTAAAATTTAAAAAATACCTTTTAATTGGTAGATTTTTTGGGGCTGCTTCTAATTTTTGATGGTGTTTTATGCCTTTCTTATTGGAAGTATCAGCCTGTAATCTCTAACTCACAGTTAAAGATGTGGTCATTGAAACTGCCTTAAATGTTCTGAAACTGACATTAGAGAAGATAAAAGATAAAGATTTTTATTCCCAGTGCATTCTCTACCAGCTGGCTGATTTATGTGCAATAAATAATTCCATTTTCTTCCTTTGAGCCACAGTCAGAAAAATACCCAAGCCTTCTTTAACAATCTGAGCCTGAGTTATTTATGTTGTTCTCTCCCTTGTGACATGCCAGAGCAGTTGATGTCAAGTGGATGGTTCTTCCTCCCCCAAATTGCACATGAATGGTACAGGGGTCAGGGCTTTTACATTTATAGATGTGTTTATAGAAATGTTACCCTGAGGATATTTGTCAGTTACGTTTAGAAGTGATGATTCATGAAGAGCACTCAAGTGCATGAATTCATGGACAAGATCTGAAGGTGAGCTAAGGCACTTGTAGCACTGTACTACCCATGTCTTGGCAGAGAGAACAGGAGGATTAAAAAGCATGGGTGAACTTCATGAAAATAAGGTGTGCTTTAAAGTATCTTTATAACCCTTAAGAAAAATGTTTTGAGAATCTTTCCTTAGTGTTACAGCTCAAGCAGTGCCTTAGAGAATAGTCTTTCAGAAGCATTCTGTTGGAGTGTGGAGGCTGTACTCAGAAGATGAGGAATGTGGAGTGGGATGGTCTGTAAAAAATAAGTTCTTTATGGATGTTGAAGTGCATTGGTAAAAATATAATTTGGACTAAACTGCAGTAAATTTAAATCCTGGGCAAATTGATGTACAATTTTAATGTTGAGAGCACCCTGAAGAATTTGGAGTGTAGAGCTCTGGCCACTGGGATACCCCTTTGTAATGAGAGGAAGCATTTTGAACGGTGTCTGTGCTCATTTTGGGTATTTGTTCTGGGATACCTTGCAAGTCTTACGCTGAAAGTATGGGAAGACTCAGCACTTCCGAGGAGAAGGAACCTGGGGATGCTTGGCTGACAGCAGCTGAACACAAGCCAGCCTGTGCCCAGGTGGCCAAGAAGGCCAGTGGGAGCCTGGCTTGTATCAGAAATGGTGTGGCCAGCAGGACCTGGGCAGTGATTGTACAGTGGTGAGGCCACACCTCGAACCCTGTCTCCAGTTTTGGGTCCCCCATGACAAGAAGGACATCGAGGTGCTGGAGCCTGTCCAGAGAAAGGCAAAGGAGCTGGGGAAGGGGCTGGTACACAAATCTGCTGAGGAGGAGGCTCAGCCTGGAGGAAAGGAGGCTCAGGGGTACCTTGTGGCTCTCTACAACTCCCTGACAAGAGTCTGGGGTCGGTCTCTTCTCCCAAGTAACACGTGCTGGGAGAAGAGGAAGTGGCTGCAAGTTGCACCAAGGAAAGCTTAGATTGGATGTTAAATTCTTTCCCTGAAAGGAGTGCCAGGCATTGGAACAGGCTGCCAAGGGACACAGTGGAGTCACCCTCCTTGGAAGTATTCAAAAAGCACGTGGATGTGGTGTTTTTAGGGACATGGTTTAGCGGTGCACTTGGCAATGTTAGCTCAACAGCTGGACTTGATGTTTGGAGGCCTTTTCCTACCTTAATGGTTCCGTGATTCCTGCCTTGCTGAAACCTCCTCAGATAGCACTGGTATTATTTTATTTTATTATGAGCACATTTTAAAACAAGCAGTGGCAGGAGTTGGCATCAGGGTTAATAGAACAATGACATTTCTGTTGACTTTGCTTTGATCCTACAGAAGGAAGAACACAAAGATGATGTGTATTCAGTAAAACTGTGTCAGATTGAATTCACTGCTTTTGCCCGTTCTTGCTATTAATGCTGAGCTTGCCTGTCTCTAAAACAGAGGGAATCTCTCTGCTTATTCTTAATTACATTTTTTTTTTAATTTTAAAAACAATAAAAGTTCACTTGTAGGACTTAAACCATTATTGTCCCTCTTGTTTCTTTTAAATGTAGGTTACAACATTAGTGAACTGTCCACAGAATCCTTCTAGTAAGAAAAAGGGCCGTTCCAAAAGAGCTCGTGTCTTGCTTGCTTCTGTGGAAGAAGCCACTTGGAATCTATTGGACAAGGGAGAAAAAATTGCCAAGGAAGCAGTTGTGTTTAAAGAGGAACTTCACACGGCTCTCGCTGATGTGCGGAAAGAGAGTAAGTAAATTCAGGAACTGGTTTAACCATGCCTGGTGTCAAAGCAAAGCTGGGATATCTGTGGGAAATGTGATGTGCAGATGTCTGAACTCGGAGTTGTCTAACTGTGTATTCTGGGATACCACCTATAAGGAGGTAAAGTGCGCAAGCTGGGCTGCATTGGGAAAAAAATACGTGTATCAGTGAAAGTTTTGTGTTTTGGAATGTGGTTTTGTTTTTCTCTTCATGAGGACAGGATGCCTCTTGATCATTTTAGTGGCTGTTAAACACTAAACATGATTAAACACATGAGCATTAAACATGACTGAAAGTTAATGCATATCTTAACTTCTTGAAAAGAACTGTTGACCTGAATCTCGGATTAAAGCCTTTTCATTAAAAATTTAAAACCTAAAATCTTCCCACTTTTGTGCATTAGTGAGGATTTAATTTGGGAAGGTATAATAATAGCCCAGTGTGGAGGTATGTTTTGAGAGTAGGAGGAGGATAGATCCTTTAACCTACCACAAGTCATCCCCTCCCGATAGAGCATCTCCTTTGAGGTGACTGGTGTCATATTCTGTGTCCTCCTGACTTAATCTCTCCATTTTGAACCTGATTCCCAGAACTGGACTAGTTTTTGTGATCTGCAGAGAATGGTGTAGCCATTTTCTTTCAGGCTCTTTGTTGTTTTCTTGAGTTTTACTTTTCCCCGTGGAAACTGGGAATATTTGGGTGAGCACGAAGGCCGTGAGTCACATGACCAACATCCTAAATGTGTTCCTGCAGAAATTACAAGTTAAAGTTCATGTATGTTTTAATTATATCATCCTGTCCTTACTAAAGATGGCACTTAATCAGGTTTTTCTTTGAATTTGAATTTATTTTATTTAGTCATCTTGCACATGCAGCTGGGGTGGTTTCTGAGTCTCTGCTGTTGTTCAGGGCAGTGATTACTTGCTTTTGGCTTCCTCTGAATCCAAAGATGGCTGTGGTTTAGAGTCTGATCTATGCATATGGTGTCTGAGATACCTTCAGGTCCTTTGTGATTAAAAGTGTTATGACCAGCAAGTATCACTGTTATCTGTCACACTGAGCAGCTGAGGCTCTTGCAAAATCATTCATTTTGGAGTACTCTTAAAATGTTAGCCCATCCATTACAGGCTGATAACACAAGGTAAGAATAAAATATATAGTTTTATATTGATTTTTATACATAGAGAAATTGAAAATGTGAAATATTTTTGTATTACTTATTGATTCTCAGCCAAGACCAGGGGTAACTACAAAAATAAATAATACATAAAGTAGATTATATATCCCTCATACATTTTAAAAGAAAGTTAAGTCCATGTTATCACCTATCATTATGCAATGATGAAGTGAGTGCTTGCAGCCCATCTCCCTTCAAGGATTTGCCAAACTGCACAGGTTAGTTTTAAGAAATCGTTGAAACAATTGTAAAAAAGGTAGCATTTTCTTAATTTTTCAGATATTTTTAACCTTTGAAGCTGTGTGCTATTTTTAATTTGTGGTATGCCACATCATATGCAGCTTTATTGCCTGTTATTCAGGCCACATCCTGCTGCTGTTCAATGTCTCATGTTATTTACTTCAAGCTCTTTGAAGGGATGTGGGTCATCAGCCCAGCTTTCATGAGGCCACCTGCCACGCATGGCACAGCGTAGAGTGTTTAATTTTCTGTGGGACTGGCACTATGGTGACTCTTATTAAGACAATCTTTAATTAATTAGGAAGTTTTTTACATGGCTACAGCTTGTATTTCCTGGATAATGGAATTTTGAAGAAATGCTTTAGATAATTTTGCTCACATCAGCCTAACTCAGATTTGCACACTGAGATCTGGAAAGAATAAATCCTGTCTCACCTCCTCTTGTGTTTCACCTCGTGTCATGCGCTGAACTTGTTCAGCTGGGGCTGCAACATGAGCATTAAACACTTATTCCTTTGGAACATCAATTGCCAGTGTGAAAACACTTCTTTGTTACTTTTGGAGCTCATTGATTTGGGGTTCCTTTTAAAGGAGTGATAGAATTTTTTTGATCTGCTTCTGACAATTCAATTCATAATAACGCTTTGGAGAATAAAGGAGGAAATGAATGGAATAAAAATGAAGATTGGGGGTAATGTTTGCTGTGTTTAATTCACCTGTGTGTGATTCATGGTCTTCAGAAATCATTTACATGAGTAAAGTTTCACTGACTACAGCTTGCTCTTGGCACTGTCAGTAGATGAGATTTTGGAGTCTCAAATTCAATTGGATTCTATTAGTGACCTCTGAAAGAAGGTGTTGCTATAATGGGTTGACAGACATGTTACCTGGATAAATACGGTGTCTGCTTCCTTTGACATCTGCAAAGTTTTACCAAAGAGTTATAGGCTTGGAGCCAAGCATTTTAATAATAGTGGTTCTCTGTTTCCTCTCAAGAAAGTGCTTTTTAAGGCCTACCCACATCTTGATAACATCTTTTTCTGGAGCTATGCTAAGTGGGTCAGCAGGAAGGTGTGTGGGTGGTGGATTGTATGCATGTAACTGAAGAACTGCCACCATTTCCTGTTGATCTGATTTGGTGAAGCTTTGTTGGAGGCTACTTATGGCCACAGTTTTATTCTAAAATAGTGTAATAAACCCCAAAGTAAGTGTATTGAAAAACTCTCACTGAGGGATTTCGTGCCCGTGCAGCATTTCAAAGGATTGTCTTCTAATTCAGTGTTCTGTGGAATAGCTGACCCCTATGCAAAGGGTGTAAGGAGCACTGCTCAACCCTGAATGCTTCTGACACTAAATATCAACCTCAAATTCATGTCCTCATCCTGAGATGTAATCAATTTTAAGGCAAAACTGTGCTGCTGTTCATGTGATGAAATGTGGCTGTAGAAATCTGAAGTCTAGCATTATCCTTTGGATGATGAGTTTTTACATTTATGTTAAGGTGTGATGGCTTACAGCTCTCAAAGCAGTTGCATGGGCATAACTGAAATGTTTGGTATTTACTGCCATTGCTGACTGACTATATATAGTCAGAAACACAACAGTTGTTGTCTGCCTTGTTTCTATCTATTGCAGTGTCAGTGTTTCTTGTGTTTAGCTGTTATCATGCTCATGTGTGTTCCCAGATAAGCCTGTCATCACACAGAGCAGTGAATTGAAAGCAAGTTACTTGCTGGAGTTACATTTTGAGCCTTAAGTTACTCTTGAAAAGGAAATTCTAACAAAAACTTTAATGTTTTGAATGGCCATATTTAATATGTTTTGATATTAAACAGGGGAAGCAAGGGTTTGATGGCTTGGAAAACACTACCATTCACTGGCAAGAAGGGGAGAGCTTACTTAAAAGGGCATTTACTAAAGGAAGGGTATTAGGGATCTTTTGTATTACACTGTGTTCTTACTTGTGTTCTTATTTGTCCCTCCCCTCATCTAAAAAAAGTGAACTTAACTTTCTCATTCCACATGAAGAGGTAGGTACATGTGTGTATTCTGCATCTAAGGGACTTTTGTTCTGGGAGGCAGAACTCAAATGGCTTAAAATAACCTGTGCTGTACACTCCTTTCATCAACCCAAGAGCAAGGTCCCCTGCAGAACAGCTTTTGACATCAGCATCACTGGGTCAGGTGCCCCTGAGTGGGAAAGGCAGAATGAAGATGTGGGTGTAAGGCACGATGGGGATGTGTGGTGGCTCTGATTAACGCTTTGGAAGAACTGGGTGAGATGTGGAAGTGGAACTTCCTGATATGCAGTGGTGAAATAGTTGCAGTGCAACAGAATCCAGTGGTATCTGAGTGGAATAAGAGACTGTGTGGCAGGAGAGAAATGTCCTGTAACAGCTCCAGAAAGCTATTGTGAGAATCTGAGTTATCACAGTGTTGAATATTAGGAACATGCAGGAGGTATCGATCTGCTGTGCCCTGACACTGATAGTGTCACTTCAGCTGGCTGGCTGGAGCAGAATCCTTTTATTTGCTGTAGCAGATGGAGATGGTATTTGTCGGAACAGAAGAGGTGATTGTACTGGTGACTTGTATTGTTTAATCTTGTGTTTTTAGAAAGGGTAGATTGTTCTGTGCTGTGATGTGACCTTGACTCCCAACCTTCTCTGGTACTTATTCTGCTTAATGTGGTAGTTCATGCCGGCAGAATTTGAGGCTGTACCTGGCAGTGTAAGTAAGAGCTAATAAGTGTTCTGTTAGTGGTGAGACCCCATGTGGAATACTGCTCAGCTCTGGGGCCCTCAGCAGAAGGAGGACGTGGACCTGTTGGAGCCAGTCCAGTGGAGGCCCCAAAGACGATGCACGGAGTTGAGCACCTCTCCTGTTAAAGCAGGTTTAGAGATCTGGGCTTGTTCAGCCCCCAGAGAAAGCTCTGGGAGACATTACCAGAGCTCCCAGGACCCATGGGGGACCTACAAGAGATCTGGAGAGGGACTTTGTACGAATGGGAAAGGCTTTAAACTGACAGAGGGTGTTTTAGATCAGATACTAGGAAGAAATACTTCACTATGAAAGTGCTGAGGCACTGGCACAGGGTGCCCAGAGGAGCTGTGGCTGCCCCATTCCTGGAATTGTCCAGATTGGATGGGGCTTGGAGCAACCTGGGCTAGTGCAAAGTGTCCCTGCCCAGGGCAGGAGGATTGGAACTAGATGATCTTTGATCCTTCCAACACAAAGCATTCTAGGATTCTGTATTATAAACCATTGTGGGTTTTTTCTTGCTTGTTTGTATTTCTGTTCTCTCGAGTTTGAGACTGAAATGTTGGAAATGCTTTCTACTTACTTTGGTATGTCTGTCCCCCCCCTTAGTAAATGGGCTCCTATTGTCAACTATTTCTCTGGAGCTGTAAGACCATCAGCCTCTAATAGTGCAGTTCAGGAGTGGGTGACAGGACTTTCTTGGCAGCAGTACCTCCTTGTGGGAGGAGGACACAAGAATGGCATAAAGTTCACTGCATTCCATGTGCATTTCACACTGCTGCAGTTAAAATTACAAAATGAGAGCAGAGAGCCAGTTTTAAATGCAAATAGAAGAGAGAAAAATGTGATGCTTGGATGGGATTTCAAAAGGAGAAAGAAAATCTATTCAAAGAAATAAAAGAAGAAAGCATAATTTCGCTGATCTTTCCTAAACCAGTGCAGAGGATTTGGCTGCTGTCAGTGTGATGCTGAGCGCTGTCTCCGCGGGGCGCTCGCTGCCCGCGGTTGGTGGCGGTGTTGAAGTCTCTGTACAGACACGGCACCAGCTGGCAGCTGATTGCCAACAGCCTCACAGTTCACTTGTTTCTAAAGGAATTTTCATCTTGAGTTTTTGGATGTTTTTTGGTGCTGGATGGAGGGTGTGAATCCTCTAACTTTTTAAAAAATTACATATGGCTGAAGAGTGTTTTTACATTTCCCTGTGCCTGAGCAGATTTTTGTAGGCACGTGGAAGCAGCAGTCATTTGACACAGCAGTAGCTGTCAGTCGTTGATGAGCTGATGGTAGAGCAACATTTACTTTGGGAGTCATCTATCTGGGTGTGCTCAACAGTCTTGGAAATATCTGCCTGACAGTGATTGTGTAGTTATGATAGATCCTGGCTTTGGTTCTTTGAATTGCTTTTTTGTTTGATTGTCTAAAATAATTGAAATCCTATGAATGCTGCTGTCTGTCTGAATTCCTACTTGTGCCACTAAATGGGCATTTTTTGTGATTCATGGTTTGTGACAAATGTAATTATGGAAGAATATCCACTTCATGGGAATTAAAAATAGATTAAATTGCATCAGACTGTCATGCTGTCTACTGCAATTTAAGAAAGTTTTGATATCATGTGTTGGAGTTGTCATTTTCTGCTGTTTGTACTTGTAGCTCCTATCTGTCTATCCTGCATCTCATGGCTCTGCTTTAGGATTATGATTTTATGTGTTCATCTGGCCATCCCAGCTTCTGTCACACTCATTTCTAAGGGCTTGGTCATAGTCTGACCCTTCTGACTTGTGTTTGCTCGCAGAATTGCAGAATGTTGAGGGGTGGAAGGGACCTCTGGGGGTCACCTGCTCCAATGCTCCAGGTCAGGGAGGGCCGGCAGTCTGCCCAGGACAGTGTCCAGTCAGGTTTTTAACATCTCCCGGGATGGAGACTCCACAGCCTTCCTGGCTGGTCTGTGCCACTGCTGAGTCACTCTCATAGTGAAAAAACATCTGCTGATGCTTACATGGAATCCCCTGTGTGTCAGTTCGTGACTGTTGCTTCTCCCCCTCTTGCTGGGCACCACTGAGAGCAGGTGGGCTCCATCTCCTTTTCACCTCCCTTCAGGTATTTATGATGTTTGTCGCTGTTGTCCACATTGCTGAATTTCATTTGCCAAACTTCACACTGGAGAGCGGTGTATCGCTGTCCACTGGCAGTCACTAGCTCCATGGCACAGGTTTCACTTTGTCAATCAGATGTCTGAGTGTACGAGGTTTTCATTCCATTAACTTATATTTGCAATGAGAAGAGCAATATTTGATTCTCTTCTGTGACCAGGAATTATTTAATAGCAAGGACACCAAAGTACATAGTAATATAGCAAGTAGTGACTAGGAAAGTTCAACAAAGGCCCTGGCTTTGTTGTGTACAGTTAAGAGTAATAGTGAAAAGGCCAAGGGAATTATTTCACAATTAAATGATGCTGTAGAACAGAAAGGGAACATCATGGAAGATGTGGAACTTTAACCTGCACGATCTGAAATAACTGACCTTCATTTCAAGGCATTAGGGCAACAAAGAGATACCAGATTTATTTGCAGTACTGGTGACTTGCCAAATAACTGGAGGAACTTCAGTGACTTCATTTTTCCTGGGTGCTGCCATCCAGCCTAAGGAAATGTTTGTTCCTTTTGCAGGTCAGGCCTTGCAGGTGTCAGCAGAGGCGTTCACCAGCGATCCCTGCTCCCTGCCCAGGAGGCAGGCTGTTGTCCCAGCAGCTCGTGCCCTGCTGGCCGCTGTCACCAGGCTCCTCATCCTGGCCGACATGGTGGACGTGGCCTACCTGCTGCAGCACCTGAGTGTGGTGAGTAGGGCTGTGCTGGCCTCAGGCTCCTGTCAGCCACACGTGTGGCTGCTCAAACTCTTCCTGCACTGGAGCCCTGCGGGTCTCACACGTGTAACACCTGGGGCAAGCCTAGCTTCTAGATGGGATTTGTAAATGGACCAGGAAAACTCAGCTACTTGCAGCTCAGCAGACTTGATCTACTTCTGGTTCCTTTTTTTCCACTAATACTTTCAGTAATTTATAAGGGACTGATAAAACCACAAGTTTCGGTTGACTTCCTAATATTTCAGGGCAGAGGTGAATAATCAGTGCCACTTCTCATAATGCCTCCTGGCACAGGAGACCACAGTGACTTAGAGGACCATGTGGAAGCAAGTTCAACTTGGTGAGGATGAGAGAATGAAAATTTGGCTCCAAATCAGAGTAGAAGAAGTGTTTCATAATAAAACAATGATGTGTGGGTTTCAATGCTGGGCTGGAGAGATCTTCCACTGACAGCTGCTAGAGACGCACCACAGGCTAAATGAGCACTGACTTGCAGGAACTTCTGTGTTGTTCTATATGTTTAAATTTGTCAGCTGTAATAGGAATGGCCTATGTCTTTTGTACTGTTTGTGAAAAATTTTCTTAAATTACAATATTTTCACAGTAATCTATTACATTTTTAATGTTTATTTTCATAATACTAGATGCTCTCTTCTGAGATGTATCGAGTGTGTTTTACCTGAGAGAAGTAAAATTAGGTGTTTCCTTTACTAGAGTTTCAGTATTTCTAAACAGCTGTCTAATTTACTTCATTTTTTCCATCTGAAAATGAAAACAAAAAATAACTGAAAATGATGAAAGAATGCAGAGTATCATTCAGGAAGAGCCCCAGCACTGCAAATAGTGCCATTAAATTGTCATCTTCTTCCATACTTCCTCTTAATAGGAGGGAGAACTGAATTTGTAAATGGACCCTTAGAATAAATTACTGTGGTATAACGCTCTCAGTAATGCCTGTGCAAAAAGACTCACCCTAGTTCTTAGAGGAGAGTGTTAGATTTTGCATATTTATTTAGTCTCTGCTCTGGCTGTTGAACTTGACAACAGTGGTATTAGCTGTAATGGTGTCTTTTTATGTTGACATCTAATTAGGAAATCGACTTAATGCAATTTCAACATATGCTATTGAACATCCCTCAGTTTCTAACAACTTTTGGTCACAGCTAACTGAGCCAGATTTAAATGCAATTAAAAATTTTAATGAATTTCAACTTGGCTCTATCCTAAGTGTTTAGCTGAAATCATTATACTTAAAAACTCCCTTAGGAATTCAATTTTTCTTCAACATGGACTTGCTCCCACAAGAAGATGTTGTATTCACACAGTGTCAAAGTAGACCTTGTCTTTGCTGTATCAGCTCTAATACTCTTGGGTTTTGCAAGTTCATATGCCTTGAAAATCAGCTCCTTAAAAGTCATTAGCTGTTTTTCCTTGCACTTGTTTGCTCTAAAACCTTAATATTTCTACCATATTATCTTCTTCTTCAGACATGGGTGTTACAGCTGTTATCATTTTAGAGATGGGAAATTTCATTGCTCTTTATTTCCATGTCTTTGAGCACTATCATTTTCATGGGGTAGAATGAAGACATTAGAAAGGACTAAGCCAAAATTAATTTGAAAAATAAAAAAACCCGTAATAGTAGAATAAAAGACATAAAAATTCTCATCAAGGACGTTTTCTTTATTTGGATGTATAAAAGGAAAGAAGTTGGTTCAGCATCATCAAAGAACTCTGTACAGTATTAGTGAGATCTTGCTCAATATGGAAGCATTTAATGGGGAATTACCTTTTTAAGTATCTAATATTTTTCAAACCTATTTATCAAAGAGTGCTGGAAGTTTTTAGCCTTGGTCACTCACTAAAACTAGTTAATTCCAACACTGGTGTTTAAAACTATACATTTTTCTACTGACAAAATACCCTCTGGATCATTAAACTTTAATTTCCTCGGTAACCTGGGAATAAAAATAGAAAGAAAACAAAGACAGTGTGACTGGCTGTCATGGAAAGCCTCATCTGCTGTTACCTGTCACAGCTGTCTGCTGATGAATATGTAGGAAAAAAGGATGGACCTCAGCTGTCTCCTTCCAGTTTGTGTAGTCTCTAACAACATTGTTTTCTGTGCATTTTGCTTAGGCTTAGGAGTGGTTTTGAATTCTGTGTAATAGAGTCTTCATATTAAACAGTGGGTAATGCTGAAAATATGGAATATTTTTTGTCACAAACACAATGAAATGTGACTCTTCAAAACTAGACAAATGGGTGAGTTTGAAATGATTTGATAATCCTGGTGGGAATTTCAACCCAAATGTTCAAAAACCTAGCCTTGTGAACAGGAAATCAGCTTTTTTAGAAGTTTTGTTAATCAAGTGGAGAGAATTTTGGCTGTTTAATGAATTCTATCAGATCCTCACCAAGCAAAGAGTGAATAAATGTGTGTGTAAATAATGCATTCTAGATGCCAGTACAAGCTCTCAGTGTGTGATCACATTCTGGCACAGAACACTTCTGGCCACTTGTGGAATTCACCGTCCTGTAAGACTGTGAGGGTGCAGTGCAAACAAGGAAGATCCTTTTATCGAGTTCACTGAAAAAATAAAGTACATCACACCAAAAAGAAAGGTTTTTCCTTCTTTAAACAACTTTTTTTCTTTTAAAACAGGGAAGAGTTTAAATAAATATCTATCTCTGATACTCTTCCATGCTTAAAGAGTTTGAAGTCTCTAAAGAAACAACTGAGTTGTGAAAAATGTGGTCAGGCTGTCTTGTGTATTGCACTCTCTGATTCAGAGCTGTGTTAGCAGCTCATCTATTGTGGTTAGTAATGCTCGATATTATTTAATTAAGTGAATTAACAGACTAATGGAATCGCTTAAATTTATTGATTGGAAGAGAACAGCAGGAAAGTAACAAGTTTGGAGAATTCATTCAAAGAGCATTGGCAGTCTGTCTTTCTCTAATCGGTTTCAGACCATGCTGAGCCAACATATTTTATCTGTCTTTTTCCCCTTCATGTCATGCTTGTAGATTTACTGTCTAAGTCTTCATATTTTTCATGAATGCCTCAGACAGCATGATCTTTACAAAATGCTTGCTTAGACTTATTTAAAACTGCCAGGGAAAAAAAAAAGAGAATGGCTAGAGATAAGAAACAACTTGTGAAGTTGGGCCCTGTGAGTGTAGTGCTGTCTGTTCCCTCATTTCCTGCAGACTATTCATCAGCATTAAAAATGTTCTGAGCAGGAGCTTGGCAGGGTTACGTGGAATGAAAGAGGAAAGTCATCTTGGGCTGACCTGTGCTTCAGGTTTAAGGGCTTGGTTCAACTCTCAGAACTGTGCTTAACTGATCCAGATCCCTGGATCTGTGGAGCCTTCCTACCCTCCAGCAGATCACTTTGGCACATGGACTCGTGTGAGCCTTAGATGGTGCAGCCAGTCATTAAATGTTTCATTTTGAATTGGAGAGGGATTCGTTCTGCTCCCCATCCCCATGCTCAACTTCAGGGGGTTGGGTACCTGGAAAACAACTGGTCCTGCTACTGAACACCGAGACAGAGAAGTACCTCAGACTTTTCTCTATTTGTTTGTCACTGTGTTTCCCACTGCATCCAATAAAGGATGGAGATTGTCCTTAGCCCTCCATTTGTTCCTAACGTGTTTATAGAAACCTTGTTTTTTACAGCAGTAGCCAGATGAAATTCTAACTTCTTGCCACCTTCCTTTGTTGGGTGTGGGTCACTCCCATGGCAGGGGAACTTCTGGAGCATAAGGAGTGTTAAGAAGGTGACAGGAGTCTTTGAGAGAAGATTTGGCTCCTCCTTTAGTTCATACTCCTATTTATTTTCTCATCAAACAGATTCCTGCTGCCAATCAGAGGTTTGTCTGTGGCACGTGGGATGCAGTAGTTTGGAATCAGGGATACAGTGTTTATCATCACACTCTGCAAATTCTGTGGCACTCTGTGATGTGCAGTAAACAGCAGAGGAAAAGCAGCTTCCAAAGAATAGATTTTAGCAGTTGGCTTTTGCAAAGTGAGCATCCTTCTGAGCACAGCAGGAATCTGGATCCACTTCTGTGCTTGGTATAGGAGCCTCTTGACTGCTCCTTTGTAACTTGTAAAAATAAATAATTGTCAAGCTATGGGATAATAAATTCCAACTGGAATGTTAAGTTGTAAGAGCTTGGGGAGATGTGTAACCTAAAGGTGGCTTGTAGAAGAGCTTAATAGAATGCTTGAAGTCATCAGAAGTAGAGCTGAGTGTGAGAAATCCGGATTGTGTCTGGTGATGGAGTTGGAAGGTGGGATGTTAGAAAAGCAGAGGCCTGTTTGAAAGGATTGCTTGGACTGGAGCCTGCATGCTCCAGTCAGTGACCAGAGCTGCACTGCAGTCGACTCTCTTTGAAGCTGTCAGGGAAAGAACACTGCTAAAGGCTTCCCTTCGGAGTGTCTGTTCTGTATTTGGCCTCTGCAGCAGCACACACCTACCACTGAAGTGCTGTGCTTGTGAGACACTAATATGGAAGTGATGTTTTGAAATTTCCTTCCCTGGAGCACTAATATGGCAAGGCAAATTCTGGGCTGGGAAAATAATCTTGGGAAATTATCTTCTCCTGGCACATTATTTATTGGTAGTATAGCAGCAACAATGTTGGTGTAATGTAGAATGGCTTGTCTGTTCAACAATTCAAGCATGCAGAGATCATTCTGATCTAGAGAAATTTATTTTATAGCTCATTTGTGCTTTGAGAGGCAGAAATGAGGAAATGCATGCAAAACAAACAGTATCTGCTTTATCTTCGGAGTGTACATCTTCAGACCTTTTTAAAATGACAGCAAAATCATCTGATATTTTCTGAATGGAAAAAGCTGTGAGCTGCTCTCCATAAACCTCTCCAAAGGAGGCACATTGCCCATTCCATTACAGCAAAATATGAGAAGAGCAGCTTTTTTCTCATAAGCATGTGTGTTCAGTAATTGGAATTTAAGAGAGGTTGTGAATGGTTTTTTTCCAACCATATCTCTGGGTAATTTAAATAGTACATTTGGTATAATTTAGTCTTTTAAAGAACCACTACCTTATCAAAACAGGAAGGTATATTTTTTCAATGGACATCTTCCTTATGTCAAAATGGAAGTTAAATTTGCTTCTTGTCCTTAACTCATATTAATCCATGTGAAAATAAAGAGAAATATTTTACCAATGGGAAAAAATAGTTCAATAGTGCTACTGTACTGCCCGGTGCAGTGGAAGACGATAATGTTGATACTCTGAAATACAAATACTCTTTGACTTGTGCAGCTCTAGACGAAAAAGAGCCATTTCTCCAAATTTATGAATAACAGAGTGGCTTCTGCAGCACTGGCCCTGAATCTGAACCAGCCTGTGTAGAAGGAAACTACATAAAGGAAGTGCAGCAGGCCCTTTGATTACATCATCTTGATAAAGCTAGACAATAAAGTGACATTGAAGGTGTGTGGTCTGTCCAGTAGCATCATGCACAAACTGGAGAAGCAGGATCTGCTGCCTCCCATCCCTTTTCCTGTTTATATGGACATTGTAAGGTGGTTACCAGGAATATGGCTTTGTACTCTGTATTTAATGGTGTTGCTTCCCACGTTTCTGAATTACAAGCAGAGAAGCACTTTGCACTGCATGTTTATAATCTCATAATTTTGTGTCCTGGACTCCTGTTTAGCTGGTAAGCCATTAATTTTCATGGCTCATGTTGGAGATGAAACCTAGTAAATTTTGGCTTAAGCAGTATCAAAATTTTAGTATGATTAGTTAGTTTAATATGATTTCCTTTTGAAATGTGCAGCCACTCTGTATCAGCCTCTTTTCTTTGATCTTATTGTCTCATTTTCGTCACACACGACAGCAGAGCAGAAGTTCCAAGGCTCCTGAACGTGGGCAGTAGTGGAGAAAACCCTCAAAAATGCTACGTCAGGAGCTCATAAAGACAGCAGAGGATTCTCAGCTGTTAATCTGCTTTACTGCAGGAGAAACTTCAGTCAGAGCTCGTCTCTCCTCTTTGACATTGCAGTGTATGAGATGTGAGACCACAGGAGTTTCAGTCTTGATGCTTACAGTCATATTTAGTAATTAGATAAGCCAGGGTCAGCATCTGAGAGGAGGCTGCAGGAATACCTTATGCTAATCAGGAACATCACACTTGCAAGGGGGCTGTGTTGGTAACACTTTTCTGGCCCATCCACATTTGTGATCCCCATCACTTTCAGAGCTCTGATGGTTTGTTGCTTTGTGATACCTAAAATGGGACAGTGAGAGTTGCTTCCCTTAGTTGAAGCATTCTCTGTGCGTTGGTTTCCAGTGAGATGAGCACGGAGCCTTCCTTCAGCCGTGTCTGCTGGTGCCTGCCCAGGACATTGGGGCTGCTTATCCACCCTGGGTTTTAGGGCCGGGGTGCTGGGCTCTGGTTCTGCATTTGGTGGGGCTGGGGTTTCCTGTGAGAGGAGTGCTGTGACATTAGCAAATATAAAGTCCTGCTCTTCTCTTTAAGAAGTTGTCTATGCACTGTCTGTGCTATGAAGTTATCTGTGGTAACTTGACAAACAGAAGCAGCTCTGACAAAATCATAGAGAGGTGATTTTATCACAGAGGGAAAATCAGTCCAGGTAGCTACCTCAGTAGTGCCACGGAGAGCAAAAGTAATAAAGGGAAGTTTCTCAGCTTCCAGAAACACTTCAAAGCACTTTGGAAATGTGACAGGCAGAAAAGAGCTCCTGTGAATCTCTTATCATTATTTTATGTGATTATTTGTAAGAGAAAAAACAGTCAGGAATTCTAATTTTCTTTTCACCTCTAGACAGGAGAGATGAGAGAGGTTTTTTTACCACTCACCCCAAAATGCTGGTTCACACTGATAGAAGTATGATGCAGAAAGATCCAGATGTAGTTTTAAGTCTAACACATGTGCTGATAACCTTTCTATGTCCAAGGTACAGTTTCTGATTTCCTGCTGATGGCAGGGGAAAGAGCTTATCTAGGTTTTCTTAAAATTGCTTGGTTGTTTTTTTATTTACTTCTGAGTTAAATTTTTAAAAGAAATGTTTCTCCCTTGCATCTGAAGACAGATGTGCATGTTCTGGCAGTTATCCATCAATTTTACTGAAGCATGTTGCCCTTAGAGTTATACATTTGGTTTGTATTTGCTCATGCTCTTATGCTGCTTCTTACATGTCTTTCCAGAGAGCCAAATGCACTATTAATGTTTTGGTTGCTGCAGGACGAAAGGAAGCGAGTGATCTTGCTAGCAGAGCTCCTGCTAATGAAGAATTGAAGCTGTGGGGTTAAGTACATCCTTAAAAGGATGATGATGATTCTACAACTGTATTTTAGTCTAACATGTTGATGATCATCTAAAAAAAAAACCAACAAAAACAACCACCTCAAAAAAGGACTGTACCTTACGTTTATTTAGTGAGTTTGGGGATCATTGGAGACCTTATTCCCTGTATTATTCAATCCCACAACAGGGCACAACCGCTTTGGGCTAAGCTCTGGAGAAATATGTCATGGCTTGAAGCAGAAGGTGCATGATGAACTTGCCAGAGACATTATGAGCAGTTTCATACACACTTGAAAAAAAGCAAGGACTGTGGAGTGCTTTTGGTTACCTTCAACTAAACTCAGGTCTTGTTTGCAAATGTTGTAATTAAATTGCTTCCAGCTAAGGGGATAGCCAGGAGTGGGAACTGGTGAAAGCAAACATTGCAAATGCAAGGTTTTCACATCAGCTCTGGAGCAGAGATAAAATCTGAAAGCAACAAATCCTACAAAAATTGGAAGATAATGAAGTCCAACTGGAAAGAATAAAGGGTATTGCACTTTTGTCTTCGCATGTGTGTTGTGTTCTGTCAGCCATGTCAGCACAGAATTCACAACTTTGGGTGAGAGAGTTTTATTTTATTTTTTGGTAGCAAACACTTTAAATGCAACTAGAAAGTGTCCAGTTAACCTCTAGTAGTGCTGAATGAGGTAGAAGCAAGATAAATTACAAGTAGATAAGAACACTGCCTGTTGGTTATGAGAGCAGTAAGACCAAAATAAAGGCTGCAGAGTGGCAAACAGGATGTGCTAGCTTGCCTGAAGTTTCCAGGCAAGCTGTTGTAAGTTGTCAGTGGAAATCCACTGCAGCTGATGATGATGATGATGATTATTATTATTATTATTATTCCAAGGAGAAGTACCTGGGGGCTGTTCAGCATCAGGTGCAGCTTGGGCTTGAGCTCAGTCACGTGCTCAGGAATGAGGGGCTCTGGAGCACTCCATGTGCTCCAGATGATCCATGATCAGCACTGGCTGTCAGTTATGTTGTCAGCTTCTTAAAGAGGGACAGAAGATGAGTGGAGGTTTGGTTCTGTGTTTTTTTTCTTCTACTCCTGTGGTTCATTATTCTGTAGTTTTAGTTTATTATTGCTGTAGTTTAAGCAAAGGGATGGAAAAATGTGGGCTGTAGTTACTCCAGAAGTGCTTGGTTTTCCAGAGCTGACAGAAAAGCAGTCCATTGCCTCATTCCCTGGGCACCGGTACCACAGGTGAGCTTCACCTGGGGCCCTGGAGCTGCACTAGGCTAAGTCAATATTTTGGAAGGATTTACAAGTGTGTAGTTCTTCCTGATTATATCAGTGTAAATACATGTTTATAGACTTGCTTCTGATGGTAATAGCAGTGATAACAAAATATTACTGAGCCACCTGCAGCTTTGCAGCTGTCACATGCTCGTGAGATGAAGAAGAGTATTTACAGCTGGAAAAACTGCAAGCCAGAGGAGAAGGCTCATGATTTTCTGAAGGTAGCAAGGAAGGTGGACCACCAATCTAATTCTCCTCTGACACAAATCTTAACTTTCTGTTACAGTTCCTACAGCTGGGCTGGAGTTGTGTGTCTCTGAAAAATACCAGTCCTATTTTTAATAATAGTGTATGGATAAAAGAACTTTTAAATTTAAAAGTAAGGTCTATAATGAAGTATAATTGGAGTTGTCACAGTTTTCACGCAGAATGTGAGCACATTGCCCAAGGTGATTATCTGGTCTTAAATTACTCTTAAGTAAATTAACTTCATAAGAAGCACCCTGTGATTTCTAAGTTCTATAGATAGAACGAGTTCATGGTCTGTATAAAGTTGCATACACTTTTCTTAGTTGAAAAGAAAGTATTTAAATCTGTATGAATATATTACTTCTTGGAACCTGGCATAGGAAAAGACCTCACCTTTAGAGATTGCTTGTGTTTTGTCTGACCTCTGAACTTAAGACTTCACTTAATTGAAGAGGGCATTTGTACAATGCTTGGAGTCCTGTGATTGGTTTCAAAGCAAAACAGAAGGAATATGTGAAAGGTTAGATGTGACAAAGCTCAATAGCCTTAGCATTTAGTAGAAACTAATTGTAATAAGAGTGAAACACAGCAACTGTATGAATGACAGTTTTTTGTTGGTTTCTCTTTTCCCTCACAGTTTCAAAGAACATTTGAATCTTTAAGAAATGTATCCAGTAAATCTGATCTACAGAAAACCTACCAAAAGTTTCAAAAAGATCTGGAAAATCTTGATTACTTGGCATACAAACGTCAGCAGGTAAGACTGTGGAAGCTTGTATGAAGACAGAATGCTGGGCATAAACAGGAGGAGCGGTGAACCCGCTGCGTTTGATAGAGTTACTGTTCTCTCAGCTGGGTTTTGTGCTTTGGGCAGTGTCAGGTAAGGCAGCAGGAGCAGGGCCAAGTCTGCTTCATGCCTGTGGTGCTGGACTGCCTGGGTTTTGGTTTCTCAGCAGAGAGGAGCACAGGCAAAACAAGTGAGACTTAGCAGACATTAAAAGTCTCACGAACACGTACTTTTCTAAATGGAACTTTATAGAAGTACTATTTGCAGTCTTTTACTTGGAAAATTAACCAAATTCACATAAGTTAATGGAATCCGATACTTCTTGTACATACAAACCACTAATGTTTTCTTCTTTGGAAATGGAATTTATGAGGTTAGTATGCATCAAACTTGGAAGTGCACGTGGTCTTTGACTTGCATTTGCAAGATCAAGGTTAAATCGAATTGTTAACATGTTTAATGTTGAATATTCTGTTAGTTATACATAGCTTGTGTGAAAACATCAGCTCTCATTGTGGGTATTGACTACTTTTTTCTCTTGATGATAAGACTCAACCTCTTCCAGAGCATGAGGGTAAAAGCTGTGCCATTTCCATGAGGGGGTCGTTGAGGTTTGTATTTTCATGGGTTTGTCACTTGGTGTCAGTGTTGTTAAGCAGTTCATGTGCTTGGGGCAGCTCACTTGCAGCTATTTATGTCAGGTAATTGATTAGATTACCTGTGTCTTCGTTAATTTGTGTTGTTTATCTGAGCAGTAGTTACATGGCTCTGGTGAGGAGTGTTTTACCTGCTTGCTGATACTGAGGTGTCCATTTCAGTAGAAACCACCTGAGAATCTGCAGTGAGGGATTTCAAAAGTGCATGCATGTATGTATTTAGTGTAAAAGATACTTTGAATTTTGTCCTGCTTTGAAAAGAATGTAATCTTTTTGTGAAAAGGTTGAGAATTGGTTGGATTACTGTGCAAATATCACTGATCTGGTTTTGGGACTGAAGCTGTTGTGAGTTTGGGACATGTTTGTGGAGTGTGCACGTTTAATTGATAACAATTGATATGCACTTGTATTAGGTTAAGGGTATATTCTGTCCTCTGGCAAAATGTTGAGTAACTGCATCTGTTTGGAGATTTGTACATGATCTGAGTGTGAATCCATTGGTGCTAAAATCAGTGGTTTATATGCTGAAAGCAATGAATGTTGCTTTTGAGAGAAATATAGTTACCTGCCTCTGTACCTTTTCTTCAGACATGAGCCATGAAGCGCAGTATAGCAATGTACTTCAGTGGGGAAGTTTACAGGACACATGGGAAATCAAAGCTGTGCTTTTTAGAGGATGTTCAAAATGTCCCACATTGACTGATTAATAAATATAGACCAAACTTCTATGAGTTGTAGCAGTATACAAGTGGCAAACTTGTTTGGGTTGATGGCTGGGCTGCATCCACTAGAGAAATTCCTTTGGGTTGAAAATATCTGTTTATAGCCAGGCTATAAAGCCATTTTGAAATGTGCCAGGAGATAACCTGTGCCTGAGAAATGTATGTTTTCTTTCTTGTCCAGGAGATAGTCTGGCAATTGCTTTGAATTAAAACAAGCTTTTTATTTCCTTCTACTGCCTCATCTCTGAAATTTGCCTACAAAGAATAGCTACAGGCCACAATGAGTACTAAAACTTCTCTTGCTCTTTGACTTCGTGGAATGCATCCAATAAAAGCTAAGTAAAGCTTGTATCAACCTAAATATTAACACCTTTACAATAGGAATGTTTTTAGGGGAATTGAGAGGACAAAATGGTAAAGCACTTGGGGATAAGACAGGACTCGGTGACAAATGCCAGCTCTGCTCTCGGGATGCTGTAGTAGGTGCACGCTTCCTTTTCTATTCCCTTCTATTGAAGGGAAGTCTTCCAGATATTGTTCAGCTGGAATGGCACTGGTTTAAGGCTGTTTATTATAATTATCTTGCTGTAAGGTCATTTAAGGACTGTTGGGCAATAGCTGCAATAAAAATGGACTTAAAAAGAAGTTCAGTGGTATTTAGCACCTGTCAAACTGAAAAATTGCCACAGTTGCTGCTGTTCTTAGTGCTAACAGTGCCTTTAGGATGCCTGTGGCAGTGCTGGCTACAGTCCAAAGACACTCAGGTCTGGACTAGAAGCCTCCATCAATGTGGCCATCTAATAGTTGACAACAGGACTTTAGTATGTGCACACACACAAAAGCAGTATCCTGTTGTAAAGTATTCTGATTTAAGGTTTGCTTGTTTGATGTTGATTGTATGCCCTCAGGGAAATTGTGTGTTTAAGGACTGAATCTATGGGAAATAATTTCAATTAATCCATGTTAAAAATCTTTTTAGGATTTCTTTCAGATGTTTGTTATATTTAGAAATGTTTTTAAAAGTTGTGTTGGAAACTGCAGGAGTTAAGAGCTGAATCAAAGATATTTATGGGGCACACAGTAATTTACTTGGCTCATGGGAAATAGTACTTCCAGAAGATGGAGCAGAGCCATTCCCTGTTCTGTTTCACACAGTCCCTCAATACCACTACTGCAGCTGGCTTCATGAGCATACAGGTCAAATTTGCATTTTGAAAGTTTTAATTTTGAATGAAGACTTGCTTCTTCAGTCAAATAGCACTTCTTTTTGTTAAAATGGATTACATGCACTTTTATTCTTCACCTTTGATTGTTCTCTTTGCCGGGAGAGAATCACAAGAGTGAAAGTGAGAACTTGTGGGTTGATAAAGTCGTTTCAACAGGCAGAGCAGATCTGTGCACCCCAGGAAAGCAGAGCAGGAGTTGATTCCCCGCTTGCCATGCTTGGGCAGGTGTTTCTCCATCCCCAGGAGAGCAGGGCCCCAGCACATGTGACGGTGACTCGGGAAGACAAACTCCATCACCCTGGATGTCCTCCTTCCTCCTCCTCCTCCTGCCCCGGCTCTGTGTGCTGGGCACGGCCCCACAGGCTCTGGGACATCCCTTGGGTCACTTGGGCTCAGTGTCCTGGCTGTGTCCCCTCCCAGACCCTCGCTGCTGGGCTGGGGCCAGGGCCAGAGGAGGCCTTGGCTGTGTGTGAGCTCTGCTCAGCAATGGCCAAAACATCCCTGTGTCACCAGCACTGCTGCCAGCACACAGCCAAAGCACAGCCCGGAGAAGAAAATTAACCATCTCCCAGCACAGCATGAGATTTGTTCACTGAAGTGCTCCACTCCAGCAGCTGGAGACAAGTTTTTGAAGGAGATTATCGCTTATCAACTGGCAGGTTTATTTTGTGGCAGACCTTTTAAAAGTATGCTGAAAATTGGAGGGAGTGCAGGGTGAATTATTTGTTGTCAAGAAAACAAGCATGATGATAGAAAGCTCATGACTGAGCTCCTTAAGTTGTCTGGAAAGGGTTATGGCTTAGAAATGTCAGGAATAGAGGTACTTAACTAAATCTTTATTCTAGTACACAGAAATATGAGGAGAGCCAATGGATGGAAGTAAGACAAGTTCAAACCAGAAAACAAACGAACGTTTTTGACAATTAACTACTGAGAGGGCCTAGTTAAGAGGTGCAGTACATTAATCACTGCTTGTAGCTTTTCTGTCCATTATCCATGCCTTTCAAAAAGATGTGAAGTAACTGAGATGCAAATTAAAGGGTAGGAATTATGGATCTTCTTATGGCTTGTGCTATTGAATGAATGTGAATGAGAATTCATTTTTTCTTTCCTACAGACTTAAGAATGACAGTACATTTGTTTGTTGGAGGGTAAAGGCAGAATTACGTCTTTTGAATTGCCATCCTGGATTAATAAATGGGTGAATTTGTTCACTTCTGTATTTACCACTCTACCATTGTCTAATCATTTAGATTTTAGGGCTGGATGTGTTGAGATCTTCTTTAGGAATTTTCAAAGAAGCCTTGTACTTTACTCTAAAGTAATTTTAAGGACATATAGGCATTTGATTCCTATTAGATTTCTGAAGATGCCTTCTTTTGTTTTCTCCTTTAATATGTGGTCACACAGTATTGATTATAAAATGAGACTATAGGTTGTAGCTACTTATCTCCCCCTGACATAGGAACAACATCTATCATGTTGTGTAATTAAAATAGTTGATTTATGCATCCATTTTTTAAAAAAGCAAACAACAAATTAGTCTCAGTAGCTAAGAGAGTGAAAAATTACTACAATTCTGTTCTCAGCCACCTGACTTGTTTTAGTAATCCCATGATTATAGTTCTGTCATTTGCTCCTTGCTTCTGTCTGTCCTGAGTATCTCTGTGGCTTGCTTAATGGGTGAAGAGATTTTCCTTTTCCCTGCTCACCTGAAAGTGCTCATATTCCCTGTGCTTATAATTTTTTATATGTATTCAGAGTGGTGGAGGGAAGGCTTATCATATCCCCCGTCAACATTGCCCCAGCCTGTGCCATGGTTTTAACAGCTCCCTTGTTCAGTTGGATTGGTGTCTGTCAGTTCCAGGCTTGAATGATTTTAATTTGTATCTCCATGTGTGCGATTCTTCTGTCTTTGCACGGATGCTAAGCCTCTGAGGAAAAGCATCATGCCTCCCCTCATCTTTCCAAAGCTCACACTGTTGCTGTTTCTATGAAGCTGAATTAGTTGTGGCTGTGCCCAGGATGCCTTCAGTCTGAATAAAAGATTCCAGTCTAGTCTTGTCTCTGATAAATGTAGCTGAAATGTCTTGGGAGCCAAGGATGGATAATGCCTTACGTTCAACCAAGAAGTCGCCAGGTAATTCGAACAACAAACAAACAATACAAATCTGAGTGTTGCAGTGGGAAGGAAATGAGATCTTCAGCTAGAAATTAAATTGCAGAGACAACTAAGTAGCGTTAAAAGGACATGACTTAAAAAGTTTAAAAAGTTGAGAATTTTGAGTGCATTCCATGGGGGACTTGGAAACACCACTGATTTTGTACATAAACATTTCCTATGGTACCATATATGTCTCCTATTT